TAAAGCGCTTAGGCACATCGTTGGATCGGTGTATTGAGCGCTATTTAAAAAACGGATTATTATTATTATTATCAACTCAGCTCTCAATTAACATAAGAAAAAGAGGATCATTGGAGACCAATGGTCACTGATTAGGCTTTGTTTTCTGTATAGACGGAGCAAGTAGCTACAAGTAGGACAGTGTGGCTTTAAAAGAAACAATCAAAGGTCAACTATTCGATTAAAAACAAAACGCAAAACTGACCAATAATATGAACATGTAACAATAAACAAAATATAATTACAATGTTCACTTTTTGAAATGCAACATAAATATATCATAAGGAAAAGAGAAGCACATCAACATTTGCCACGCTCCACCCAGGTGAAGTTAATGGGTACATGTACGTGGCACACAAATATTTATTGAATGCTTGAGCACCTTATCATGGTAGCTCCGCTAAATCATCATCATCATCACCATCATTAGTCATCGTTAGAAAATGGGTTCAAGAATGTAGCCAATGAGAAGCGTCGAAATGGACCACGTGTGCGTGCATTACTTTTTACCATGTGCACGGGGAGTGCATTTTGGTGATAACAACCATCAATATCTGGTCTTTATACTCATATCAAAGACCCAACTTATAAAACAAATAACACATTTTTTTAGCGTGCACTATTGATATGCACTGCACTTGGTGAAGTCACAACGAGACGGACAATAAACTCAACAAGTCTCGTTCATTAGCATACTGTGGCCTAACTTGCATGCGGGGCATATTCACTAATGCAATCGCAAACATGTATTATTTGTATATCATCATCATCAGCAGCATCTTCTAGCACCTCCTATTCATTGCTAAATCATACTATTACTACTTCATATATCAACATATTCTATTCCAATCTACAATAGAATCTCTGTAAGATAATTTTAGACGTACTTTAATAATAATGGTCCGTTCTTGTAACTTAGTCTCTGCGCGCTTCCAAAGAGCTTCAGAAATTATTTCCCTAGCTTTAGCTTCTGCTACCGATATCCAACCACAGTGCATTTCAAGGAAAAATCCTACCAGGTACCCATTTACCTCACCTGGGTTAAGTGTGGCAAATGTAGATCAATGTCTTGCCAAAGGACATGAGTGCCGCGGCAGGACTTAAACTGCAACATCTCAACATTCTTAAAGGAAACCTCACCCCAATGAGTAAGTGTAGGTATTCTGAAAAATGAGAGGTATTCTGAAAAATGAGATGTATTTCTGCCCTTTAATGCACAATACTCCTTACGAAAATGTACAAGAGATATATGTTTCAAGATGTTCTTGGTAAGATGCGATGCCTTTTAGCATGACACGGGTGCAGCCATTTTCTTGAAAATGCGATTTGTACATGTATCATGCACCAAGCTTTAGTTGAAAAAACTTTTAAAATCAATAACAAAACTTTTCAATGAGGAAAAATCATAGCTGAGAAGATAGAAATTATATATTTGGTGAGAAATATATAACAGGGGAACAGTTGTAAACTATTCATTTAAAAATACTAAAATATAGCAGTTGACAAATCCATTTCATTTGTGAGAAACCTTCGCCCCAGAACAGCACCATCTTATTCATGCAATTTGCGTTCTGGCAATTGTATTACAAAGGATAATTGCAGGTGAATGCAATGCTTCATCACCAAATACACACCTGGGAAGGGAGCATCCATAAATTTGAATATATTTACTTCACATAGTACGTCATGTTATTACGAGAAATTATTTCTCGGGGTGAGGAATTCTTTAACCTCTCAAAAATACCAGGCACTAATGACGTAAATCTACCAAGTATGTCATTGAAAGTACATAATTTTGCTTACAGCACCACTCAAAGCCTGCTTTTGAAGTTAATCTGAGATTTTCTACACAAATATTTGTTCACACTTGTCACGTATATGCTTTTGCTTACGGTAGTTTTTTCTTTTTTGTTTGATTTGTTTTGTATTGGTGGCACTGCTGTGTGTTTTTTGTTTTTTTTTACTGGACTCTTTTTTTCCTTTTCAGAGCTCTTTTGAAGCTTCTAGAGCTTCATCACTCGCTGCTGACTCACCTCTTTTTCCTTCTCAGAGACATAAATATTGTAAAACCACACATGTACTGGATTACATTATCTTAACACTAATAAATGAGCATAAATGGAGAACAACGATAAATGAAACAGAAGAGGAAATGATGCAGAGCAGATCCGTCCTAATTCTAGCAGGGAAAGGGAAAAAATAATTAAACACTCTATCTTTCTGCACCCTGAACTGAGCAGAAAGCTTTGCACAAAACTGATTAACATATAATAGCTGAACGGCATGAGCTGAATATGGAGAGGGAAACTTCACACCACGGACGACTATGAAGTTTCCTTTATCTTCTAAATAAAAGAACATTGCATTTTTTACTTCATGGTAGTATTTCACTTAAGTCTAATTCAGTCTATGGTTCTCTCTCTCCCTAAGTGCCATATCGATTGACTTTAGCGATCATGCTGTTCCACAACCCTCGGCTCCTAGCCTTCTCTATTAGCACCACTCCCAGTTCTTTCACTCCTCTCTCTTCTAACAATTTCTGCAGACTGTCCATCCAAAGTATCCTCCTTCTTCCCCTACTCCTCCTTCCCACAATTTTCCCTGTCAAAGCAAGATTCTCTAGGCCTTCTTTACGTGTTATGTGACCCATGAACTTCAACTGCCGAATCAGCATTTCATGTATCATTCTCCTTTGCATAATTAATCTAAGAAGCTGGGTCAAATGGGTTATGACAATGACATAGAATTTGTTCAAAAAAATACTATTTTACCCCTCTTCTACTGACGTTATACAAAAATATAAATATATATGTATGGTAGAAAAAGAATTCTGATTTATATTTAGAAAATAAGATGATTTTTTCATGCACTAAAATAGTGATATTTGAAGTCAAATCAATAGAAAGTTGAAATTTTGTTATGACAAACCAAATTGTTACACAGTGCTGTGAACTTTTTAAGGAAACAGCTCATTTGAAATCGTGTATGTATTCATGTCACATATATGTCAGCAATTATTAAAGGAATTGAAAATGTCTAGTATAGCCAAATTTCCTTGCTTACTTGCTCATTTGAAAGCATCTAAAGCCACTCAATCTGACTGCTGAACAGATCTACAATAGCTGACTGAAGAGATATTGCTTGTGAATTTTTTTTGCCGACACTAGAGGGAGCTGTGCTACTCCTGATCATGGTGATATCTGCTGCACTCTCCTGAATCGTTATTGTACCTGGGGGTGTTTCACAAAGATTCTAAGTTGGACTTAAAAATTATGGAGAGCCATTTGTAGCCTTAAAATAAAATATATTCAAAAGCAAAAATTCAAGTATTTTAGACTTTTTATAAATTCCCCATCAAAAACATGAAATCTCCCATGATAATAGAAAATATGAGTGATTTGAATCAACATTTAATGCCATTTAAAATAACTTTTAAAAAATATTTTCATAGATGCTAACGGCTTTGCATAATTAGTCAAACTTAGAGATAAGTTCAAATTAGGATATTTGTGAAACACCCCCCTTGACTATAAAACAGAATCATATCATGTTATGTTAGTGTTGTTCTTGTTATTTTTTGATATTTTATTATGTGTTAAATTTTCTTGCTGAGTTGCTCATGTGAAAGCATTTTATGTCACTCAATCTGACTACGGTACTAAACACGTCTACAGAAGCTTACCGAGGAGACAAATACATTTGATTTTTTTTTTTTAACCACAAGAGGGAGTTGTGCTACTCTAAACCCTGATCAAAGAGATATCTGCTGTACTCTCCCCACACTTTATCATACCTTGACTTCAAAACAGAATCATATCATGCTATTGCAGTGGATTTTTTAAATGATGTTGCATTTGTGGTAAGAATAGAAACACTGTAATACAATGATTTATTTGTTCCCCCCCCCCTCCCCCCCCCCAAAAAAAAAATATGCCAAAGTTTAATTTGGATTATATTTTTTGTTATTTTTTGTTCATTATAATTACATGTCAAAAATCTAGAGTTTCTCACGTGTCAAATTAAAATTCTTCCATCTAAAAATCTTCTTATTACTACAGAAAAGGGAGCAAAATGTTGCAATCTACCTCGGAATAGATCCTGAAGAAGATGATGTGACATCATTGACATGATTTGTTTCTTGCGTTGGATTTCGTGTCGGTAATAGTTTGTTTTTATTAAGTATTTGGTGCCACCTGTGTCTGCAGGAAAGCGGAAAGCAATAAACCCTTGGGTCTCTCATCCCAGTATAACGGATTGGGGATGCGCAGGTGGACCACTTCACCGGGTTTTCCCCTTCTTTTATATATGAATAGTGCAGTGGGTTCTTGATGCGCACAGGTAGTGACTCTCCTCTACATGGGGCCTACATTTAACGTCCTAACCGAGGTCAGAGTATTTTCCACTTAGAGCCCATCTGCACTAGTTTAGCCAGGGGATTAGACCTCCCTGCACGGTCACTGATGGGTGGTTATCTCATCAAATCAGCTCTCAATTAACATATTAAAAGAGGATCATGGGGGACCAACAGGCACAGATTATAGGCATTGTTTGCTATATAGAGGGTGCAAGTAGCTATAATTAGTGCAGTGAGGCTTTAACATAGCCTGCGTCTATGAAACAGGTGATGGGCACGGTAGCACACAACGCAGGCTTTAGTCATCCATCTGGGTTGGATTTGAACTGACGATCTTTGGCTCCAAAGACAGACACTTTACAGATTGAGCCAACTCGCCTTCTCTAATTGTTTGTTCTATTGATTTGTAATCATTAAGTTATTCTCAGATGCGGTTAACCACTTGAATGGCCTTCCAGAGCTCTCAGTGAAAGTCTGCTGTTTTAGAACATTAAACCATTTTGTTTAGAATGTTTGGTGATGCAAGTGTTCACATTTTGTAACTTACATTTTCGTCAAAAACGAAGAAAAGAAGATATGATATGAATAGAAATGAGGTAGTACAAACCTTAAATATTCTCCTGGGTTTTGAGATGTAACTTTCTTGCAAAGACCACCAGGCATCGCCACGGTAACGACAGACTCTTCGTTCCTTGCTGCCTGCAAGTAACAGAGGATGAATAATTAAATGGTGTTTAATTCACAACCTACAGGAGACAAGGACAATTTGAAAATGATTCTCTGGAGACGCTTATGAGTTATCCCTTTGAGAAGTCTGCGCAGGCCTTTCAATGTTTGTTTTAACATAAATATGGCATGATATGAATGTTGAGAATCATCATCATCAAGAATGACTCGGACTGTTACACAATTTTGTGTCTAAGTGCATATTTACATGCTGAACTTGAATTTAAAAGTTGGGTAAATACCGTTATGAGAAATAAAATCATACACTTTCAAAACAAAAATATACACAAATAAAACAACAAATTTTACTTTAGAGGAATAGAAATACAAAGCAGAGAAAATATGTGTCAGAAAAAGAAAAGAAATATTTGGAAATTTTATCAAAGAAAGATAAAGAAACAATTCAAACAAGAAAATTACTGGCATGGT